GATCAAGAAGTACAACTAAAGAAAGACTGTGCCTCTGACAGGAATTGAACCTGTATCCCCTTTTTCCATCAAGGAAACTGTTTCCATAGCCAGAATGTGCCTTTATGAATTCAGCCATGTTTTGTATGTTATATGTGGGGATGATAACGGATTAATCTTAGACTTTAACAGGTTAAGAGTGTAGTGAACGAGGGGAAACATCCTCTTGGGAGTCAGTTCCACAAAGCAGCTGTTTGTGGGAAGCTGCTGCCTCAGTGGAACTTAAATCTCACCAATGGAATATGGAAAGAATGAGGGTGGTTCACTACAATGGTATGGCTCAGAATTGTAAATCTGAGATCCAAGTTTCAATTGCAGTTGGGTTATTCATATTCACTTATGTGCAAATACTCTTGGGAAAGGTATGAATACATCTTTTCTAAGCTATGGGCTAATTAGTAACTCATTATCTCCCTCCAAATTCTTACAATCTAAAAAAAGTTTTTTGGCTTTAAATAACCTGCAAAAGGTTGATAAACTATAAAAAAACAAATCAATTGGGACTATTGTTCAAATGTAAACAACTTCATAAAAAAAAAACAAAAAAACACAAGACTGATGTCTAAACAAAAAGTCAGATATGAGGGTGGTTCACTACAATGATATGGCATGGGGGGTTAAAACTGGTGAAACTAAGGAGTGTAGTTCAACTGACCATTTTCCATGGAAATAGCAATGGAACGTGCAACATTTCGGGAAAGTGGTGTAGTTGTTATCATTTCTATGATAAATATATCAAACAAATTCCAACTTATGTTTGTTTTTAATAGAAAATCTTTACAATAATTTCTTTGGTAGTGTGAGATTTTATTACACAACTCAAGTTTGTCCATCATGTTGTAAATAAACACATTACCTGTTAAGGAAAGTTCTTTCTTGTTGAGACTTCTACAAATCTACAGCTTCAGTTTCGTATATGAAACATAAACAACAGTTTACATTTCTTCAAAAGGATTTTTTTAACTGACATTATTTCTTATTGCTATAAAACTTATTTTAGTGGGGACGTGTGTTCGAGTTGTTATCCGTGTTTTTTATTTTCTTAAAATTAAATTAATAACAACCAAGCATTGTTTGGCTTTGAAAATATTGCATCATCTGTGCTTGCTTCAGATTTTCATCATGCACAGACACTATTGTCTCGACTGTCGATTAGTTGTACTACAGCCATTTTCTGCAATGGACGTTACTCCAAGGAAGTATACGAAAATTGTAACACTGCATGAACACACTGGCAAGCCTTACCAGTGAGCAAATCAAAGTACTATAGACTGGCACGGAAACTTTCCTGATTTAAATCCAATTGAGAATCTGTGGTCAATCTGCAAGGAACAACTTTATGGAATGGACATATGAAGTACTGGGTCATGTTTCATTGGAAACATATGTAAAAAGAGTAAATAATAATGGAATTATTTGTTTTGTTTCAGTTAATTTGAACAAGTGTATGCATGCATGTGTGTATATATATATATATATATATATATATATGCATGTTTCATTAAAAATGACAGACAAGGTACTATGGTTAAGCTTTTTATGTGTCCTAACAAGAGCTTTCTTTTCTAGACAAAGGGTGTGTAAGAACTGTCCAAATGTTTTATATTTCTGAGCGCTTTCGACTATACCTTTAGCCATTATGAAGGATGATTCGATTTTTCAGCTTAATTGAGTGTGTGCATTCTGTGTGTGTCTTAGTGTGTAGTAGGGATGTTTTTAATTTCCGAATAGTTCGGACACAAGAAAAATTAAATAAAAAGCTTAATTGTAGTACCTTGTCTGTTGTTTTTAATGAAACATGCATAATGGAAGGATTGCTGCCTAAATATACAAATATATATATATATATATATTTTTTAATGCTTTGAATATATAATCGAGCCAATTTCAGTTAGATTCTTTTTCATTTTGTTTCCATGAATTTTGTTATTAAATATTCCCCGTTGTGATAACAGAAGATCTGCCAAGAATGGTGTTTTGGGTCTTTTATTAATCTATCTGCTAGATTCAATTTCATACCCAAAATGTAAACAATGTTTTTTTAAAAGCATTTTTTTTTTTTTTATCCAATATTATTTCGTGTAACTATAAACATTATTTTTAGCGGGTACAAATATTTGACCGTCCTGAGTATGACGATAAACTACAACTGGCAACAAGGCCTCTGATCAGGAGGTTTTGAGGAGAATGGAACCACATCTTAATTGTTGCTCTTACCAGGTCCACCCTGGCCTGGGGTGGTAGCACCTGTTAGGGTCCCAGCTATAGGCAAATAGTTAAGCCTCAAACTGGGGTCAAAATACTATGAAAGTATAAAAATAGATTTTTGTAGATTTGTCAGTCATACATTTTCATAATAAAGGAATTATCAGTAATATATTTTTGTAAAGAAAAAAAAAATAAATAAATAATACCAGCAAAAGATATTTTTATAAAAATAAAAGATATTACCAGGAATACATTTTTGTAAATGAAATCACCAATACTTCCAAGAAAATAAAATTTCATCATTATAAAGGTGTTATTTGGTTTGGTTTGTTTTACAGCATATCAACCTCAATGGACACTATTTACATTATTCAAACTATTGTCCTCATCTTTGTCACCATATTTATTACAACGTTTCAGCTGTTGTACGCTCTGGCCTTCTTCAGGTGGTTGGAATGTTGAACTGAACCCTTTATTTCACTCACTGGGGTAGACTTTTTTAGTTCCATGTGCCATGTTTAATGGATGTTAGTTATCAGTTATCTCCTGTTAATTCACCTCTCCAAGTTCACCGCTGCCTTAATCAGGTATTGAACTCACACTCTTTGGATCCTGTCACTAACACCTTTATCCACTGTGCCATGTGTCCTTGAGAACACAGACACATGGCACAGAAATATAGACAGACAACTGCAATGGGTTATTTAATGCTGACAAAATTTTATTGCTGGTAATATTTATTTTTTTCACAAAATATATTGCTCGTAAGATTTTTTCCTTCAAAAATCTATTTCTGGTATTATTTTTTTCAAAAAATGTATAGCTAATATATATATATATATATATATATTTATATATATTATTTGGTTGGATAGATGTGAGTTTGTGACCCTGGGTTTCACGCTTTAGCGATCGTCAGTCTGACGATCACTAAAGCGGAAACCCAGCATCTAAACTCACATCTATCCAACCAAATATGTTAGTTCTATCTCTGATATTGAGTGCTTTCTAATAAGTACCGCACATACAATATATAAATAATTATACATACATGTATATATTTATTTATATACACTTTTCACACACACACACACACACACACACACACACACACACACACACATATATATATATATATATATATTGTTTGTTATTTTTTTTTTTTTTCAAAAATGTATTGCTGGTAAATTTTTTTTTTTTTTAAATGTATAAATGGTAATAATTTTCTTCAAAATATGATGCTGATAATAATTTTTTACAAAGTATTTCTGATATTAAAACTTATTTTTACACTTTCATAGTGTTTTGACCCCAGTTTAGCTGTGACCCAAACAGGTGCTACCACCCGGGGTCAGGGTGAACCTGGGAACACCAGCAATTAAGAGGACATAGTTTATCATCATACCCAGGACAGAAAGGTGCTGATATAACATTAAACAGACAAAAGAAAAAAAATATTTGAATAGAGATCTCAGTTTTTTGGGGAGTTTCTTTTAAACTATAAAATTAATACCAACGGCCTAGAGATTGAAAGTCTTATTAAAGAAAATGTATCAAGAGGCTCATTTTTCTTTCAGCCCTCTTTCCATTATTTGTTTCATCTTATTTTTTTTTGTTTTACTCATCCAGATACCGCAGCCGTCTATAGAAATGAAGAAGATATTGGTGCTTGTCTTCCTGGACTGCTTGATAAGTATAATTTGACACGAGACGATATCTTCATTACCAGCAAATTAGGTATGGCATTCATTTAATTTCTCTGAAAAATGTCCGATAAAATCCTAAACGTTTGTAAATCATAAAATATTTTTATAATTTAGTAAATTTCAGAACATCAAAAACAGAGAGTACGTGAAAATGGAAGTAGGAAGATTGTGTAGATCTTTTCTCTTAAGTCACCCCAAATAATGTAAAGTTACTTATTACAAATATTAATTCACCACAAGAAATTATAAAGGAATTTTTTACAATTTAAAAAAAAAAAAAAAAAATCCATTTTTGGCTTGTTTTTCAGGGTGAGTGTGAAAACATTATTTGGATTATTGTCCTCATCTTTGTTGCCATATTTATTACAATGTTTCAGCCGTTGCACACTCCAGCCTTCTTCAGGTGGTTGGAATATCAAACTGAACCCTTTATTTCACTTACTGGGGTAGACTGTTCTAGTTCCAGATGCCATGTTTAATGGATGTCAGTTATCAGTTATCTCCTGTTAATTCCCCTCTCCAAGTTCTCCACTGCCTTAACCAGGTATTGAACTCACACTTTTGGGTCCTGTCACTGGATCTAACTAACGCCTTTATCCACTGTGCCATGTGTCCTTGAGAACACAGACACATGGCACAGAAATATAGACAGACAACCTTAATGGGTTATTTAATACTGACAAAATTTTTATTGTTGGTAATATTTTTTTTTTTTAAAATATATTGCTTGTAAGATATTTTTGCTTCAAAAATGTATTTCTGGTATTATTTTTTTTTTAAAATGTATATAATATATATATATATATATATTTGTTTGTTTTTTTTTTTTTTTTTTTTTTCAAAAATGTATTGCTGGTAAACTTAGAAATAGTGCACCAGAGTCACCCACGTTTGGGGGAATTGCAAAGGTCACCCAATTAGAAAGCAATAAAAAGGTCTCCTTCTGGGAGAATATGGTGTGAATTTTAGTAAATATAAATTCTTTTTATTTTGGAGTGAATTAACAAAAGATTTTAGTTTTGTTTTGTTTTTTTTTGTTTTTGTGGGGAGGTGTTTGCTTTTCATAAAATATTGAAAAACCATAAATCAAAATTGATTCACACAAAAATAAATTCAGTTCAATTAGAGAAATCAGCTGCCATTTAAGGAACCTGTTGCAGGAAAAACTTTAATTTTATTTTTATATATTTCAAAAATTTTATTCTGTCTGCAACAAAATGTAAATTTTTTTTTCTTTTGAAAATATAAAGCTTTGCTGTGTATTTCTTGCGGGGCTGATTACAAAAGTCAACCCAACCCACCATTCAAGCTTGTGGAAATCTCTTCCGGCTTCTTGCTTTCCAGTCAACTTTGATCATCAAAAATGTAAATGCAATGTCAATTGTTATTTTCTTAATTCTTGTTCAACCACAGTTAGGATTATTGAGTCAATGCGAATGATCCTTAGTTGCATAGTATGTGCTTTGCCAGTGCTACATACAGTTTTGAATTCAGAGTTTTCTTTCTCCTAGACTGGTTGCCACCCAAGGCTATAGAACCCAGCCTGTTTTACTATTTACCCATAGCTGGAGGGAAAAGAGTTACATTCATACGGGATCACAAAGTCATTATAAACTCCATGATTCTTTCATTGATAACATAGTATGTGTTTCATCAGGACTACGTACAAACATTATTATATTAAATACTAGTCAATGCAGACTTTCAAGCTATCTCACATGATGAGATAAAACTAAAGGAACCTCTGGTCCAGCTGAGAAAATTTATATTTGAAAGAATCTGTAAAATCAATTTGATAGAATTGTTTGCTTTTAATATTTACCAACTTAATCCGAGATGACGATTATGAAATGTAGCTTCATTTTTTTTTTTTTTTTTTTGTTTCCCTTCATGTTGTGGGTGATCCTAATTCCCAAACAGATTCCTTTTTCTTTATTATTTGGGAATTGTCTTATATTCTTGGAAAAGTAAGAGTAATTGGTCAATCATTGCATTCTGCACAGTTTGGAATTCAAAATTTTTTTTCTCTTAGACTGGTGACATCCCAAGTCTAGAGAAAGTCCATTTTTAATTCACAAAGATGAGAAAATTGGGCTGAATGAATCACTATATAATTGGAACAACGTCTCATTTTGAATAAAATATGGCAAGAACAATAAACATGAAGAAACTCATCATACCAAACATTCTTTCAGGAATTTAAAGAAAATTCTAAAATAGAAATCATGAAAGTTATATTGTTGCAAGAAAATTCTAGAATAGAGATTATGAAAGTTGCAAGAAAATTCTCGAAAAGAGATCATGAAAGTTATTGTTGCAAGAAAATTCTAGAATAGAGATCATGAAAGTTGCAAGAAAATTCTAGAAAAGAAATCATGAAAGTTATATTGTTGCAAAAAAATTTTTGAATAGAGATCATGAAAGTTGCAAAAAAATTCTAGAAAAGAGATCATGAAAATTGCAAAAAAAATTCTAGAAAAAAGATCATGAAAGTTATATTGTTGCAAGAAAATTCTAGAAAAGAGTTCATGAAAGTTATATTGTTGCAAGAAAAACCACATTGTGTTTCAACAGCTTAGATAAACTTTAAATTGTTGTTCATATAAAACATGTTAAATCTGTAAATTTATTCTTTGTTTTTCCTTAAAAAAATGAATTGCTTCTTTTCTTTCATTTCCCTTTCAGCCCCTAAAGACCAGGGAAGGGAAAAATGCCGAGATGCCTTTCACCAGTCATTGTCTCAACTACGTACAAAATATCTTGACTTGTATCTTATCCATTGGCCAGGAACTCAGGCGATGAAACCGCACGATGAACAACAAAAAGAATTACGGAAGCAAAGTTGGCTTGAATTGGAATCGTTTGTTAATGAAGGTAATTCACATCTGCTGAATGGCTTCCTTTTCTCTTTGGCGAGGATGGAAGAGAATGAGAAGACTTTAGTGTTGAGAAAGGACAATAAAAGAACAGGTTTCAGGAAGACAGTAGATGGTGATTGATGTTGCATTTAAATTTTAACTGGAAGAGAATTCCAGAGGTGATAAGTGCGAGAAAAGAAACTTTTAAAAGAGATCTTATCATTACGTCTAGCTATTTAAGGTTAAATAATACTATTCAGAAAACATCGAAGGACTATCCCCTTTTGATCGTGCATGAAGACAAAAGACGCATCAAAGACACTACTTGGTTTCAGTGAGAAAAAGAAAGAAAAAAGGGAAGATTAAAGTTTTTAACACTTGTTTCACTGAAAGAGAAAAAGTTGTCAATTTCAAATATTTTCATTTGTACCCACTTACTTCTTAAAATAACGACCAGCATTCATATTTGATTGTTATTGCAATATTTTGTTAAAGTTGTTAAGTTCAAATATTTAACGATACGATAAGGGAATTTCTACGGATATTTTATTGCCGTAGAACTCGCCATGAGCCTATTCAATCATTAACTGAAGAATTAAGATTCATGAGAAAATTCAAATAGGAAAACCGTGAAATGATCACAGGTCTTTCTAGTTTTGTTAAGGTTGTTAAGCTTAAATATTTAACAATACGAAAGGGGAATTTCTACGGATATTTTATTGTCGTAGAACTCGCCATGAGCTTATTCAATCATTAACTGAAGAATTAAGATTCATGAGAAAATTCAAATAGAAAAACCATGAAATGATCACAGGTCTTTCTAGTTTTGTTAAGGTTGTTAAGCTTAAATATTTAACGATGCGATAGGGGAATTTCTACGGATATTTTATTGTCGTGGAACTCGCCATGAGCTTATTCAATCATTAACTGATGAAATTTCAAATAGGAAAACCATGAAATTTTTGTGGGTTAAAACAAGTAAATATTATTTTTCTTACCATTATTATTATTTTTCTCTACTATTGTGTGTGTGTGTATATATATATATATATATATATATATATATATATTATACAGCAAAACATTAAAAATTACCTCATGTGGATATAACTTATTTCAAACTGGTGCAACCTTGTGCCAGTCCTCTTCAGCCCTGGACTGAATTTATCTTGTCTCGGGATTTGGGATTTAATTTAGATAGCAGTTAAGAAAAGATACAAACCTACACAAAATGATGCTTCATCAACATAAAGAGGCCGAGTTGTTGGTAAGGAGAAGGCATGAGATGACTCTCTAAAGAGAGAGATGTTGCTGGAATTGACCCAGACATTTACTTTGATCCGAGATTGGGCTTATATGAAGAATGATGTGTTGAATTGAAATTAAAAAAGGAGCCAAAATAAGAGTTTGTTTATAAGCAAAGCCTTTAATTTTATATAAACGAATACTAAATTATACCAACCACAAATATGTTTTAATAGGATTAACAATAAATTGTATTTCAACAATTAATATAAAGAAAGCATAGAATTAAAGGTTTTATATTAATAAATAATGGGGGATTTTTAAAGATAAAACAATTTAAAGTTAGAATAAATAATCCATTTATCACATTAAAGATCAGTTAAATTTAAAAGTTCAAGCTATATCCAAAATTCTTTAAGAGAAAAAATATTAAAGTAATAAGTTAATCAAAGTGGGATTGCATCAGTTATTAGACAGGAATAACATGGAGAATCTAGGGAGATTATAGAAGTTAATTATTATTATATATTTAACACTGGATGCGGGGAGTTAGTAAGTAATAAGGTAAGATCTATGTCCTTATCTAAGTTTAAACCTGCTTCTATGTCTACATTTTAATACTAGATCGTTCCTTTGATTCAAGAGTTTGCATTGTACTATATATCTCCATATATATATTTTTTCATATTAGGTAAACTCAGAGCCATTGGAATTTCTAATTACCAACCTGGGCATTTAAAAGAACTCTTAGAATATTGTAATATACGTCCAGCAGTTTTTCAGGTAAGTTTTAGGACTTCTTCCAAATCTGCGGAAACATTAAATTCACAGTGTCCAGGTTGTGTTCCATTACTATGGCCTTGTACCAGATAAAGCTGTACTTAAACTGTTGTTTTATGAAACAGACTCCCGATAGGATGCTTCCCAGACAAGCATGATTTAGTCTCTTTAAGTCCAGGGCCAACTATTCATCCTCATAATACACTCTTGTTTCCCCCTCCCCTACAACAATCTCGCTCAGTAACCCTGTACCTTGAGTGGCTCTTGGGCCTTGTATTGGGTGAACTATCCTCATATTACTCTCTTACTTTTCCCTTTCAGTTTTACTCGGTAACTCTCTGCCTTGAGTGGCTCTTGGACCTTGTAATAGGGGAACAAACAATACCAAAAGAAAACCAGTAACAATCTGCATCCTGAATGAATGTGTATATTTGTGTCATCACAAAAGATGCTGAAAGAATGCTTGGTTCCTTAATTGCTCCAGAAAATACCGAATTCCTGCTGCCAGGTTTCTTTTTTACAAGAGTCGTGTCAGACCAAGAATGAAATACTGCTGCCATATCATGGCTGATGCTGCCCAATTTTTTCCATCCCTGACAGAGCTGTAAAGTGATTACACGTCCTTGTAGTTGATGAATTATTCCCACACCTGCAACCCTTTTCCCATAGACAAAACATTACTAGCCTCTCACTATTCTGTCACTACTACTACAGATATTCGAATGAGATCTATTCCTTAGCTCCACCAGTTCAGACCTTCACAGCTAGGACCCACAGTGGTAAACCGTTCACAGCCACATCATGTTCCTTTGATAGTCCTGGGTATGCCGATAAACTACATCCGGCACCAAAGCCTCTGTTCGAGAGATTTGAGGTTTTTTTTGAGGAGCCTGGAACTACCTCTTAATTACTGTTGTACCCAGGTCCACCCTGACCCAGGGTGGTAGCACCTGTTAGGGTTCAAGCTATGGGCAAATAGTAAACCCCCAAACAAAAACAAAACTTATATTTTTAAAACAAAATGACCAACAATACATTTTAAAATAATTGATAGCAATTTAATTTTTATTAAAAATTGGTATTCATTTAATTGCATTTAAAATATATTCATGCCCAAAATATTTAGATTTCAGCATTAAACAACCCATAGAGGTGTTGATATGCCACTAAACAAAATCAACCAATCCTTTGATAAGGAGCAAGTTCCATTCAGACAGCTTCTTACCCAGAACAAACTCCTGAGAGAATGCTTCCCTGACAATTACAGTTTTGGTCATTTTAAATCCAGGGTCAAATGCTATCCAGGGCCATTGCATATTACCACTAAACCCCTCAAATGGAAAGGGGAGCTTGATTGGGGGCCCCGGACATTGCTTTGTGGCCCTTGCTATCTTATCAACATTTGCTTTTTTTCTCCTTACATTTATATACCTAAGCACAACTGAATGAAAGGATGACAAATTTTTTCAGATTTTGACATCATTCTTGGGTGTTTTTCTTTTTTTGTTGAAATCCATGAATTGCTCATGCTAAGTCCTGAAAAAAAACGAAATAAAACTCACTATTTTTTTTATCCATAATGTTAAATGTGTTAAAGATTATTTAACTTTTTTAACAAGAAAAATCTCAAATTGATGTTAAAAATTGCCACAAAACATTGATTTATTTAAGATGAAATGATATAATTATGACAGGTCTCTAATTTGTATTTAGATAGATTATATTTATTTTCAATTTTTCTAGTTGAATTGTTCACCTATATTGCTTATGATCCATTATTATTATTATTATTTTCTTGGTTGGTTGACACTTAATTCAGAGTGGAGATATACTTAATTACTTCCCAAACTGCCTAATAAGAAAACTAAACTATAAGCTATGGCAGGGCCGGCTCGTATTACTTCCAAACCCCTCGAGCAGTGGAAGCCTGATTGGGTTCCCCAGGCAATGCTTTCTGACCCTCTTTATTTTATCAACATTTGTTTTTTCTACCTTATTGTACATAATTAGGTGACAATAAAATTTGTATTTTATATGAATATTAACTTAAGAAAAATGAGATGCATTAGATTGGGTGGGGCTGTATCATATATTCGGAGGAGGGGCACAAGACCCTTACACTAGCCCCTGCTCTGGTCCAATGAGAATCGGGTGTATATAAAAAGCCTAGTAATTTCCCTCTTTTTTTTTTCTCCCTGCTGACATCTTTGTTGACTCCACAGACAGGACCCATTTCACAATTTCCAGCACAGAAATTTGAACACAAACCAAAATATGTCCATTTCTTTTTCATTTATTCAACATTTTAACAAGAAAGATATCAAGTTGACGTTAAAAATTGCCACAAAACATTGTTGATTTATTTAAGATAAAATTATCTATTATGACAGGTCTCTAATTTGCATTTATGTGACACCCTCTGGTGGTCACAGTGCCAATATGTTATGTCCTCTGGTCACGATGCCAATATGTGACACTGCGCCTGCAGCCTGTGGTCAACTCCCAGTTGCGGCATGAAGTTGTAAGGTTTCTTCCACCAGCGTTTTGGGGTTGACTCGTTGTCGCTGCTACCAGCCTGTGTCCCAGTCGATCTGGTCATTTCCGGTTCGATACCAATTTTGTCGTTCTCAGCTCACTTCCAACGTCTGGTCACAGAAGTAACTATTTTGATCTCAAGTCTAACCTACCCACGTTGTGATTTTGATCTTAGGTAGATGAAATCAATCAGGCGTCGGACTGTAGTGCAAGCTGAATCCGGGATGAAGGTGATATCGCACAAGCCTAAGTAAAAGAAACAATAAAAAAATCTCAAGAGGTTCAAATATGTTGAGAAATAACAAATTATCTTTATCCGTCTGTTATATACAGGATTGTGTTTCTCTCCCAGCCCGTTTCTATGGATTTGTGAAACTTTTGCGTTTCTTAAATGAGTTTTGGTATCTTAAGAATCTAACTTGCTTTTGATAGGAAGATGAAAGGATCAATCTCGTCGGTCAGCTTCTGCGGCAACACTGACTCTGTCTGGAACTGAACTCCATCTCCAACTGAAACTGCCTGGAGACGTTAAGTTTATATGGATACCGACCAAAACCCGTGGGGCCTGAAAAGAAGAATTCTCTTTGTTCTTAGGCCAGGAAAATTAATTACTTCCCATTTTTGGAAGGTTAATCAATTCCCATTTTGTGGGTTTCTCCCTCGTCCGTGAGGGGAAGGTTTTATCTACCTAGACTCTTCCTCTCTCACATTGTTATCTCATACCAGTCCCCTCAAAAACTTCTCCGCCTTTCTCACCAGATGCACCCATGCTACCACTTGACCAATGATCTCTCGGCAATGTGGGTGTGGCTAGACTGGCCCTCTTAAAATTATTATCCAGTTTGAAAAATCCTTTTTCTTTTCCCATCGGCCAAACATTTTTCTCTACAAACCCCAGATTGCCAAATAATTCTTATCACATCTTTCTTTTGGGGATTTCACTTAGTCAGGTCTCTCTACCAACTCATCAATCACTGTCAAAACCTGACATCTGGCCTCCCGCTAAGTCAACTTTTAACTACCCTGAGAATCAAATTTTTATTTTTCTCATGCCTTAAAATCCCTTATCACCAGATGCCCATTTTCGAAAATGATCCGTCAACAGTTTGAAAAAAGTAATAACAATAATAATTTCCTCCACGATTTTCTTCCTCATGCTTTCTAACACGTATCCAGATGATTTCCTCAAGGACCCAAAAAAATTTTCTCTGAAAGATAACTAATATCGATTCTCTCTGCCTGTATCGTGGTTGTCTCAAGCCGAAATTTTTTTATGACCGCCATGTGTCAGCCGGCTTTGTTTTTCTTTCTGAATTCCATTTCACTTGGTGCGACATTCCCTTACCATGACATTAATCAGTTTTGACAGAATCTCATATCTCGCTTTTTCTTATGGATTTTCTGTTTTGTGCGAAAAGTATCTTTTTTTTTTTTTTTGTAAATAAAAATAAAATCTTTTTTTTAACGTCGCTCAGTCTATCTTTCGATATAGCTCTTTCTCGCCTTAAGTCTTTCCTGTTTTTAATTTCCATGGTTAATTAATTAGCCAATTACCATAGCTAAATAGTGTCACATTTAGATACATTGGATTTATTTTCCTAGTTGAATTGTTCACCTATATTGCATATGATCCATTATTGTACATCATTAGGTGACAATAAAATCTGTATTTTGTATGAATATTAACTTAAGAAAACTGAGATGTATTAGAGTGTGGGGAGGGTTGTATCATACATTCGGGGGAGGGGCACAAGACCCCTGCACTGGCCCCTGCTCTAGACCAATGAGAATCATTTGTGGATGTGTATAAAAAGTGTAGTGATTTCCCTCTTTTTTTTTTTTTCTCTCTCCCCTGGCATTTTTGCTGACTCCACAGACAGGATCCATTTCACAATTTCTGACACAGAAATTTGAAAACAAACCAAAATATGTCCATTTCTTTTTCATTTATTCAATATTTTAACAAGAAAGATATCAAGTTGACATTAAAAATTGCTGCAAAACATCATTGATTTATGATGGAATGATCTATTATGACAGGTCTCTAATTTGGATTTAGATACATTGTATTTATTTTCAATTTTTCTAGTTGAATTGTTCACCTATATTGCATATGATCCATTATTGTACATAATTAGGTTACAATAAAATTTGTATTTTATATGAATACTACCTTATAAAAATTGATATGTAGTAGGCTGGGGAGCCCCCCATATCATAGATTGGTGGGGAGGCATGAATTCCTTGCACTGAACCTGCTGATATCTATCCTACTCATCCTCATAATACTCTCTTATTCCCCCTTCTGTTACAACAATCTCAATCATTAACCCTCTACATTGAGTGGCCCTCTGGCCTTGTATTGGGTGAACTATCTACATTCAATTTGTATCTCACACATGCCAATTTTCTAAGCGTAAATTAGATATGGCACAATTCCAAAAATATAGGGTACCCAGTGAAAATCGAACTCACTACTTGGACGTAATTGAACTAGCGAGACAGGCTTGCTAACCATTTTGAAGTGTCCTATCACACAGGTGCCAATGATCTCTTAATCATGAAATCGAATTTTTTTAAAACAAATTGCATGTCAGCAAAAAACAAATATCAAACCTCAATTTCCTAATAAGGATAAGCGTTTATAGAATTATCTAATTTCTGTATATTTACATGCTATTGTCAAACAGCAAAATCAACACATCAAAGCACAATTTATAATAGCACAGTACTTTTAAAGTAATTGGCAATGTTTAACCTTCATGCCTGCAAAAGAAAATGGTGTGTCAAAAGAGCGGTTATTCCTTTGATATCAATATTACTGTATACGCTTTTGACTCCCTCAGCAATCTTTATTTACCAGATTAGAAAAATATATGAACCAAGTACAATGCAATATTTATTACTTAATTTTTATAAAGAAATATATTTGAAAGGAATTTTTTTTATTAAAACACTTGTAAAAAAATTACAAAATTATCAAAATATTTAAGATAGAGAGATGCTCTCAGACGATTTTACTGAATTTATGTGACGAGAGAAAATGCATTTTTTGTAGAATTTATAAATACAGATACACATTGTTATGTGTTTATTTAAATTTTCTTGTTCAGGCATTTTTTTTTATAAATTTATGAATAAAAAAATGGTAAATAATAACTGTTTCATTACAGTTGGTTCACATATTTTTAGAATATTGTAAATATAAAATTATTCTTGTGAATAAGTAATCGAATAAATAAATATTGTCACTTCTCAAGAATAAAGAAAATGTATAACTCCACTTTCATATGTTTGGGTTTTATTAAAATTCTAATCATTTTTTAAAACAATAAACATTGTCAAGGGAGTCAAAAGTGTATACAGTAAAAGCAGTATCAAGAAAATGACCATCCCTTTTGACTCAGCGTACTTTTGCAGGCACAAAGGTTAAACATTTCTAAATAATTTAACTTGAAGAATAAACTAATTTCAAGTCTAGTCAAGTCCTGGTTTCTAAGTCATTTTTAATCAAGTATAAATTGTCAAAAAAAAAAAAAAAAAAAGAAAGAAAGAAAGAAAAAAATTTCTATTCAAGGGAGATGACTCTAGGTTTGTCAACTGCTAATTCCATTATTTCCCTGAGTTTCTCAGTAAAACAACTTAAGATGTAAAATCTGTTGTGGAGATGAACATACCTCTCCAGAAGAGGACTTAGACTTGTCCAACTACTTATAGACTGACACTGAGAATGGTCAGTAAAAAAGAGAGAAAAAGTACAGAGTTAGAGATCTAGTGTATCTGCCTGCTACTGATTTCAGCAAGACTATGTTGATTCCAAGTGACATTCTATTTCTTGATTGTGTTATCTTCATTCAGTCTAATGAAAACAAAGCAAAGAAAAATTCTTGGATAATCAGCACTCTTTTCTATCAGCCATAGTGGTGTACCAGTGATAATACATTACTAATAATAATTAAGAAGTATATTATAAATATAATAGCTATTTGCAAATATAAATTTTGTCAATAGAAAATTACTTGATATCTACTGGGAGTTTCAAGAAATAATAATTTCACCCCTCTCCTTTTTCTTATTCTTTTTTTTTTTAAAGAATGAACATCATCCTCACCTCATCCAGAAAGAAGTCATGGATCTTTGTCATGAAAATGGAATTCACTATCAAGCATATTCATCTCTTGGAACCTCTGCTAAGGATAATTTGGTAAGTGTTGATTCTTTTTTTACCTTCCTTTTACAAAACTGTTGGACTTGAGAAATTTTTGAGGAGAGTCATTATCACTCCAAGACTTGTTTAGACCATTAATGTTGTCCATCTGTTTCAACTAATTTTCTAGCCATCATCAGGATAGACAATCCTTATGAAAACAAGAAAAGGTGGGAGTCTTTTTTTATCATGAAGAGAAAATCAGAAAATGATGGCCCACAAAAAAAATTAAAAAGAGGTGCTAAATATTTTCATTGAATCAGTCAATCAGGGCAAACAATCACAGCAATGCAGGTATCACAAGCAATTCCATATTTTATACACAAACAAATCTTCATTAGTCTGACTTAAAGAATTTTTTTCAAGCTTAATTTCTCGTGTTCTCTAGCAAGAATCTTTCCATATTGTTTATTCCTGATGGAATAAGATAACACCATATACTGAAAGGGTTAATGTGATACCTTATTGTAGAGGAGTATTGATCAATTGTTTAATTCATTTTTTATGACTTATCAACCCTTTGCAGGTTATTTAAAGCCAGAAAATATTTTTAGATTGGGAAAAATAATGATTTAGTGATATGTCTTACTAATTAACCCATAGCTGGGGACCAAGAGGTGGATTCATATCTATCCCAAGAGTATTTGCATGTAAGTGAATATAACGAACCCAACTAGAATTGGAATTGAACTCTCCGATTAACAATTCCAAGCCATTTACACCAACCACACATCCAACCTGATGGCACCTGGTCTTCCCAAATGGTCACCCATCTAGAGACTGACCAGGCTTGATGTTGCTTAACTTAAATGATTGTACAAAAAACACTTCAAATTTTTTAGTACTGCTCAGTTCACTCTGTTTCCACTGAGCCAAAATACACTGTCTTTGCATAGGGACTGAACTCACAATTGTGAGTTCAATTTCTAGGAAAGGCAGTATACTTGGACTTGGTGGAAATGGGGTGACCAATAACTAACATTGGTAGATTAAATAAAAGGTTCAGTTCAGAATTCCCTGTAGATTACTCAGACCAATATACACCTGATGAAGTCCAGAGGGCACAACAGCCAAAATCTAGTGATAACAACAACAAAGACAAGGACAATAGTCGACATGTAAATAGTATAAATAATAATGATAACTCCTCATCCCAGAAATTTTGACAGAAATTACATCTCTATCTATAAAAGACAGGATGTGTGTGTGTAACGAATGCACGGCTGCAATTTTTGACGGATTTGCACCAAAATTTACATACACATGCAAATTTTTTTTTGCATGCTAGCATGCTAGTTAACATTCGTGTCAGTCAGCTGTTGGCTCTCACGCTGGCCAATAGAATCTTCCTGCCTATTCGTGGCAGCCAGCTATAGGCTCTCACTCTGGCCAGTAGAAAATGGCTGCAAACTACATGAAAACCGCCGTAGAAGCATGAAAAAATTGATTATTTCCACTATCAATGGGAGTTGGGAAATGCAAAGTCGGTCTTGACCTTCCTGCTAACTTGGAGCTACCTTTACTCTTCAGCAATGTTTATTGTTTTAAAAAGCAAAGATTAGAATTGTAATAAAACCTAAAAATATGACAGAATAGAATTTAGACATTTTTTTTCTTGAAAATTTACAACAAAAATATTAAACATTATTTATTTATTAGATTATTCATTTACAACAATCTAGAAACTAATACAATTAAAGCTAATGGAATGTGATATTTATCATTTATAAGGAAATAAATATGATAAAAAATTTTTATTTATAAACATTTACTAAATTATTAAAATATGTGAACCAACTCTAAGGAAATCCTTATTTTTTACCATTTTATAAAGTTTAAATTAATTGGCAATTAGCAGATGTTTTGCAAACCATTCCAATAATCAATCTAATATAACAGTGTAAATAAGCAAGCTAATCAATATTGTTTGTTTTTTTGTTTTTTTTTTCAATTCTTAAGAACAAAGAAAATGTATAAATTTATTTTAATCTGTTTACGTTTTATTACAATCGTCACTTTTTAAAACCATAAACATTGCTGAGGAGTGAAGGTAGTTAAAATAATAGTGGTGGCAAGGGAAAAACTCTCCTTTTGCTCTGTCTTATTGCGGGCATGAAGATGTGTGTGTATATGTTTCAAACAATAAAAAATATTGAGAAATTAAAATTTTCAGACACATTGAGTTGTATATTAAGATTTTTTTGTTTTATTATTTCAATTAGATTCTTCGACTGGTTTTGGCCAGCATGGTCATCATCAGAAGAAAAAAAATTTCTGCTTGTTAGTAGCAGTAACCAGTTGCTTACCATCACCTGAAAAGGCACAAAGTTGCCAAAACATGAAAGCTATCGTGTAGTGATTTCAACATGTTTTTGTTCTAATCTCTTATAATAATAATAATAATATATTGCTCTACTTTATATTGAGCACTTTTTTAAAAGTAAATGCTACAAACAGCAGAATTTTACTTCATCTGTTCTTTCTCTCATATATATATATATATATATATATATATATATGTTTGAAAACATGGACGTTTGTGCCTGCAATAAAATGGTGTGTTAAAAGGATGTTTTCCCTTAACACAGCTATTTTCACTCTTCGATAATGTTTATTGTTTTAAAAAGCTGTCATTAGTATTGTATTGTAATAAAACTAAAATTAATTTTGTTTTCAATTCTAAAGAACAAAGAAAACGTATGAATTCACTTCATATGTTTAAGTTTTATTCTAATCATTGTTTTTTAAAACAATAAAAATTGCCAAAGTGTGAAAGTAGTTAAAAAAAAAAAAAAAAAAAGAAAGAGGTGTGTTATTCGTGCAGAAAATCATCCTTTTAACAGTCTGTCCTATTGTGGGCATGAAGGACCATGTCCCCCCCCCATTTTTTTTGCTGTTGTGTTGACGAAGAACATAACGATATGCATTCCAGGGGGACTGCATGCGCATTAGAGACAGCATCCAATGCGCTTCAAGGTGTTGATGTGCATCCTATGCCAGTGAATGTTAATTACTTTTCTCAAATTCTTAGATTTGAATTTTGTGTATTTGACATTGTGTATTTCAGGTGCTGACAGACCCTGTCATCCAAGAGATTGCAAATAAACACAAGAAATCAGTTGCCCAAATTTTATTGCGGTGGGCTGTTCAACAGGATGTTGGTAAGTATTAAGTTGAAAGTTGACAAATCACTTCAAGTTAGACAAACTGAATTTTAAAAAAATTATTCCATAAGTTTCATAAATCTTTGTCAAAACAATGCACGATGTAGTTTAATTTGGACAAATATCCTCATCTTCTTTTATCGCAACATTTTGATGGCCATATCCTCCAGCCTTTGTCTGGACAATTCCAAGACAAAAGCATCAGATGTAACCGTAGATAAAAGACGCATCTCTGTAAGACAAGGTTCAGTATTTCAAAATATGGTTGAAGAATATAGGAGCTAAGAGAACAAATTATTTCTCTTGGAATTTTTGAAACGAGGAATTATCATTATTATATGATTTGTTATTCAAGCCAACACACTTATCTTCACTGGTATTTTCACGTTTCAGCAATTATACCCTCTGGTCTTCTTCAGGATTCTTTTTTGTTAACCTTCTTGCATTGTTACGGGCTTCGACACTTTTGATGAGATTTTATTGCTCCTGGTACATTTGATCTGCAAACAATTTATTACAGACTCATGCAAGTTCAAAGGAAAAATAAAACGGAATTTAAACAAAGAAATATCATTTACATTATTTGGACTGTTGTCCTCATCTTTATTGTCATATTCATGGTGTTTCAGGTATTGTACACTACGGACTTATCACATGATTGAAATTTCAAACTGAACCCTTTATTTTGTCCACCAGGGTAGATTGTTCTAGTTCCACATGCCATGCCTCTTTCAAATGTCTCACTTATCTCTCCTTAACTCTTGGAAACATTGTGAATATAGGCAATAAAGATGAGGACAACAGTCTGAACAATGTACATAATGTAAATAGTTACAATACCTCATCTCAGAAATATAGATAGATCCTGAAGAAGTCCATAGCATACAACTGCCGAAACATTGTGAACATGGCAGTAAAGATGAGAACAGCAGTTTGAACAATGTAAATAATTACGATACCTCAAGTCAGAAATATAGACAGCTCATGAAGAAGGCCAGAACGTACAATGGCTGAAACATTGTGAACATGGCAATAAAGATGAGGACAATAATGTAAATAGTTACAATACCTCATCTCAGAAATATAGACAGATCCTGAAGAAGGCTGTAGCATACAATGGCTGAAACTTCATGAATATGACAATAAAGATGAGGACAATAGTCTGAACAATGTAAATAGCATTAAATAATTACAATACCTCATCTCGGAAATATAGACAGATAAAAAAATATTAATAAATATATTGATAGGACATTTTATAAAAGGTAAAATGAGAAATGTGCAAAGTTCAAAGCTACCTTCAGTGTCTGTAGTTGAAGTACTTACATTTTTGTTGGAGCGAAAAGAATACGTCTTTCCGCCATGAAGAGTGACCAAGAAAGATGGTTTCTTTCAAATCTCATACCACCTGTAATTATTGCCAGTGAGTGGTAATTCAACATCTCACTGCCTGGTAATCCAACAGCTGATGACATTGTGCTTATCAGTCAGTCTCTAGATAATGCGCAAAATCTTGTACAATCTCTTGATCAAGGTTATGGCATGGTCTGCATGCAATGATATGTGCAAGAACTGGACATCATGACTGGACAGCAAACTCAAGATCAAAATATTCATAACGACTATTGAGATGATTCTATTTTATGGCTCAGAGACATGGACGCTCTTTAAAGGCATGGACAAAACATCTGGATGAGAGCTCAAAATTTCTCTTGGAAATGCGAAGAAAGAAACTTCTCAGTTTCAAGACAGGTTGCTCAAAACAATTTAGCTTCAACGCATTGAGTGCTGAACAGTTCAATGGAATTACTCTATGTAAAATACAAACAGTCTCAGTTCTCGGTAAGAAGGACACAGTTTCCGGTGAAGACAACAATACCTCAGTTCGAAACACACAACGTAGTTATCCAAAAAAAAAACAATCGTCTCAAAACTCCACTGATCTTCGCACTCAATAACAACACTGCCTCGTAGTTTGCTACACACAATCTCCCGAGTGGTCTCCTGCCGTCACTTTTATGCCAGTGAAAACCAACCAATTTGCATATGGCCAAGTTCACCTCTTACCAATCCTCACAGCTACGAGATCGCATTTCCCATAAGACCGACTCACCATAATGGCAGTGTTTCTTCCTTTGGATCAATTACTGCCCTGCGCGCCAGACACAAACGAACCCTCTTATGTCAAGAGCTAAGGTTAGTCTCACTTTCATGTCCACACCAAGAATAAAGTTGTCTTGTCTCTCCTACTCCTAAAGCTTGCATCAAACCTATGCCAGGGGCAGAAAACTATCATTTCCTGATATCATCGCAAGGGATGTGGACATTGGTAGGCTGGATTTTGGGAAAGCAATGAAGGACTGTGGGGGTCTGGCACAGTGTTGTGATTTCAACTGCAGTCAACACATGATGATGAAGAACTGGGGGGTCTAGCACAGTGTTGTGATTTCATCTGCAGTCAACACATGGTGATGAATCCAACAGCATATCTGTGTTTTATAGATTCTGGAAAAACATTTAATAAAGAACTGTTGTTACTGCTCATTAACCTTAACATATTTGGGAAGGACATTAGAATAAGCCAGAACCAAAACTGGCAGCAAATCTATACCACCTGCATACAGATAGGAAATGTGTTCAGTACGTATACAAAAAAATAGAAAGGAGTCTAAGACGAGGATGGGTCTTCTCACCGGACATATTAAACCTATATAGCAAGGCAATTCTGAGAGAATTAAAAGTCATACCAAGATTCATTATTTGTGGCCACAATCTTAACACCATAAGATATACAATTGATGCAGTGTTGAAAGCCAACATAGAAAGAAAACTACAAGAACTCCTACAGAAGGTAGTAAAGGAAAGCAAGAAGAAAGGACTAACCTCCAATTGCAAGAAGGTTTAGAATATATGGCTGTCAGTAAAATGAAGAGGCCAACGTGTTCTTTTGTCAGTCATCTTTAAAATTATTCTTTAAGTTAACGAGGAGAGACAGCATGTTGCCTGATAAATATTTTGGTTTGTTGTGATTTTTAGAATTGAAGGATTTTGTGGGGATTATCTCCACTTTTAGAGAGGATATTAGAATAATCCAAAAGCTGAACTGTTACATAATATCAGTCCTCCTATATGACAGTGAATGCTGGACAATCTCGTCACAGATGAAGAAGAGACTTGAAGCAACAGAAACAAAGGAAAGAGTACTGAACTGTTATGTAATATCAGTCCTCCTATATGGCAGTGAATACTGGACAATCTCTTCACAGATGAAAAAGAGACTTGAAGCAACAGAAATGTGGTTCTACAGGAGGATGCTGAGGATACCATGGATTGAACATATAAACAACAACAAAGAAAGAAAATTGAAACAAAAAAGATAATTTATACTTAACACCAGGAAGACACAGTTGAAATTTTTGGGGCACGTAAATGAGGAAGGAAGGCTTGGAAAATCTGATACTCACAGGACAGATTGAGGAAAAGCTGGACAGAGGAAAGCAGCATGTAACATAATTGATGGGCTTAAGCAAATGGCTAGCAGAACAGGGTTTGGGAAAAATAACAAAAAGACAAAATTTATTAAGAGCTACAAGGGACAGGAAGATGTGGAGAGCCATGATGGCCAACGTCCTAGTGACATGGCATAGAAAGAACAACAACCTTCTCACAACTGCTTTCCATACTTAGGGAAGATACCTTCATATTAATTAGGGGAGATAACTTTTTAGTTAATATTCACCAGTTTTGGTTACTTTTTGTGTCACTTGTCTGTTTCTTCAATTGAGCTACAAGATTTTTCAGCACTACCAGAGCCAGGAATTGAACTCGCAACTACCTTCCTTGTGTTTTTTGTAATGATGAAATATTCATCCAATACAAGCCCCAAGAAACACTCAAGCTAGAGCGTTCTTAAATGAGGTTGTTGTATTGCTGTAGGAGGGAAAAGTAAATTCAGATTATAAGGATAAGTAGGCTAGATAATAGTTGACCAAGACTTGAAGAGGTTAAGATTGTAATGTTCAGGGAAGCATCCTCTTGGGAGTTTGTCCAATAGCTGTCCAAATGGGACTTTCTTCTTATCAATGGAATACAAAGGAAATGATGATGGTTCATCTCTGTGTATTACATTAAAAAAACAGTTCACATACAATCACCAAAGTTGAGCAACATTGAGCTTGGCCTAAATGGGTGACAACTTGGGAATACCAGTTGCTGTAAGCTTGGTGATATTGGAAATTGGATAGCTGAGTTCCAATTCCAGTTGGGTTCGTTAATTTAACTTATGAGCAAATACCTTTGGGAAAAGTATGAATCCACCTCCCCCCCAGATATGGGTTAAGTAGTAAGACCCATATCAATAATTCGTTATTATTGCCAAAAGATTCTTACAATGTAAAAATATTTTCTGGCTTTAAATAACCTGCGAAAGGGTTGATAAGCCATAAACAACAAATCAGTCCCTGAAAGTAGAATGGGAACAATCTACCCTTGTGGATTGAATAAAGAGAGGTGCAGTTCAAAATTCTGTAATGGTTAACAAGTACAGAGGTAAAAACCTGAAGAAGGTCGAAGAATTTAACAGCTGAAATGTTGTGAGTGTAACAACCAAGATGAAGGTGCTGATCTGAATAGCAAAACATGTGATAAATATGAAGAAGGCCGGAGAGGTACAATAGTCGAAACGTGTGTGCAATAACCAAGATGAGCATGTTGACCTGAACACAGAACATATGGCCCAGCATATAAAAGTGTTGGTTGGAACTAGTGACTTGACCCAAAGAGTGGTGAATTCATTACCTGTCTATGACAGTGGCAAACAGAAATTTGGAGAGTTGAGTTAAAGGGAGATAACTGAGACACCCCAAAAGAGGCATGGCACATGGAACTAGAACAATCTACACTGGTGGACAAAATAAAGGGTTCAGTTCGAAATTCCAATGACCTGAAGAAGATCGGAGTGTACAATGGCCGAAACGTGAACATGACAATAAAGATGAAGACAACAATCCAAACAATGTAAATAATTACAATACCGCATCTTAAAAATATAGACAGATGTTGTAAGACCAAGATGGGTATTTTTGTGTGAACAGTAAGCCATATAATAAAGGAAACAAAATGGCTGTAGTCATGTGAAGAATGGAGACTATAAATTATCTCCCCTTGACAAGAATGGCTTGTTATCTAACTGATGATTGCAAAAGTTTGTGCCCTCGTTGTTAATAAAAAATGGCCACAACTTGACACTATCTTTTGTTTTGGTGCCATTTTCTAGTGTGCATCGTTCATTTGTGAGTCAAACTTTATACTATTTACATTATTCGGACTGTTATCCTCATCTTTATTGTCATATTCACAATGTTTCGGCCATTGAATGCTCTGGCCTTCTTCAGGTGAATTTCAAACTGATCACTTTATTTAGTTCATGGAGGTATATTATTCTTGTTTCACGTGCCACACCTTTTCTGGATATTTCAGTTATTTCCATTTAGTAACTCAACTATCCAAGTTTTTATTAACCTCTGCTCTGGCCAGGTATTGAACTCATAACTCTTTGGGTCAAGTCACTGGATTACCTCAACCAATGCTTTTTATCAACTGGGCCATGTATTAATTTTCACTCACTCAAATTAAACCTAATGTCTCAGTAGCCATTTTTACCAGAGCTCATATTACTCAGATGTGGCTAAGGACACATGGCCCAGTGGATAAATATGTGAAGAGGGGACATTATTTGAGTTTCAGTCACTCTGATATACTATTTTACAACCATTTACATCTCCTCTCAAGAAAATCTGATAGAAATAGTGCTGCTATTTTTTTAAAAATTATCTTTTTTTTTACCTCATCTCAGCTCACAATTTCTTTTCTTTTCTTTTTTTTCTTTTTTTTATTGAAGAATTGCAGCCATTGTCAGAACTGAAGAAAGTGACAAGTGAATTGTTTCTTGTAGATTTCTGTTCCATTTTGCAGGAATAATTCCCAAGTCAACAAATGCAGCACACATTGCAGAGAACATGAAAGTATTCAACTTCAGCCTCACTTCGGAAGATTTGGAAAAGATTGGTAAATTGGACAAGCAGCACCATTATTGCTGGAATTCTTTTGGTATTTGCTGATGCGACTTCAACTCAGGGAAGAGCTTTCAAGAAATTTATAGTGTCTAGTTTTATAATTCTTATACACTGTTGTTGGATTTGAGTCCTTTATGAATTTAAATACAAAAATACCTCCTTTTTTTTTTAATAAAAAAGCAATTGATTTTTGTATTGTTTTTGATAAATGTTTGTTATTATCTGTGAAGAAAGAAGACTTCCTCGGTTATCCATACATCGATTTTTCAGACATGAAATGACAAGAAAAATTTGTTCAAACCTTTTTCAGTTATCTGAACTAAACCCATTCTAATATTTCATCTCCGACAAATGTTTTTAGAAGTGAGCAAACCATACTCGACGGTGGAGTGATGGATAGCGGCTCAGTTTGAAGAATCAGAGAGATGAGTTCAAATTACACCTGAGTGTGTTATATTCACTTGGGAAAGTGAAAAGGTTAAACATTCAAAGCAACAAGGGCAGTAAAAATGTTGAAATCAAGTTCTGGCAACAACGCCTTTGTACAGGACAAATTTTCTGCAACATGGAACCACTTCTTAATTGCTGTTGTTCCAGGTCCACCCTGACTGTTAGGGTCCCAGTTATGGGTTAATAGTCAATCCGCAAACAAAAACAAAATGCTATGAAAGTATAAAAATACATTTTCGATAGTGAAAATACTAGCGATACATTTTATATAAAGAATGACCGACAATACGTTTTATCTGTAGTTGAACACATAATTGTATTCAAAATATTTAGATTTTGGCATTAAATGACTCATAGAGGTGTTGATATGCTGTTAAACCATATCAAATAACCAATTTAAAAAAAAAATTTTTATGATATTAATCCATATAATATGCTAGAATTTTTTTTAAAGAAATCAAACTGTATTCCGAAATATAACTTCAACAAAACTGCAATATAAAACATGCATATTATCACCCCTCATAATCATGTCCGCACAAACATCTATTTGCACTCAAGCTGAGCATTATCTACCATGTACTTAATTGTGAAAGAAGAATAACATATATCATTTTTATTACTTCAAATCTGCCAAGAAAATTAAATTTTGGCATCAAATGACCCATAAGGTTGTTGATATGTTGTTACGTCAATCAATCAAATCCATTCTCACAAATGCAAAAGGTAGGAAAGCCAAGTAGCATAGAAATCAGAAATCACAAATCCAATGTCAAAAGTCCAAGAGGCAAAATAAAAAAAAATCCACTCCACAAATTCTAACACAGGCAACTCACTGTTGAGCAAGGACCAAAAAATACATACGATCCTCATCAAGAAAAAGCAACGACTTTTACTGAAGAAGTAAATTTTACAATTGGTCACGATAGGGAGAATAAAAATAAATTTACCATATATGGAGCAGGAATTATCTGGAATTTTTTTTTTTTTTTTTTTTTTTTTTTTTTAGTCGAGTATTATCTTTATTTTCCTTCTCTTTTCTCACACCATTTCAGTTAGTCCAATCTCCTCTCTTCTTCAGGTGAATTTTGTCCTATAAAATATCTGCTATTGGTCTCATTCCACAATCAGATCTAATATATTTACCATATATATTTATCATTTGTCATGTCTATTTGATTATTCGTTCAATACTTTTGGTAGTGGTCCCATATCCGCCGACTACTTCTAGTTTGCGATTTTTCCACTGTTACTGTATTATTACTCAAAAAAAAAAGAGTAGCATTTTTCCTTTAATTTTTCCTCATATATCATTATTACTTGGTGTTGTAGTTTTTTTTTTTTAGACAACACTGAATTTGAGAATGTCATATTAATCGGTGCAGGGAGTGTAGTGATTAGTAAAATTGGTGAGTTGGTTCCGTTCACTTCCGCACAAATACTCTTGAGAAAAGTTTCAAAACTCTTTCCTTGTCGGGTTACTTAGCCTAAACATACAACGGTTACTATGGCTGCAGTACATGTAGTAATGTTACGGCCCTAATGAGTTAGGGTTCCATAATATAAAGATTTATCAATATGGTTTGCCATGATTTCATTTCAGAAAAAATGGTCAATTTTATGGTCACCACATATTTTATTACAATGTTGTTGAGAGTGACATTATTCATGTGACATGACTGCGCAAAAAAGCTCATAAAATCAGTTCTACTATTCTCGTTTCTCAACAAACTTGATAATCAAAATTATTTTTATATTATTATTTATTATTATTTTTGCCTTTTCTTTGCGAAACTGTGCAAACTGGAGGTCGGTGATTTGTGGGGATGGGTCAGATGATTTTCACTGTTTACCACTGAAGGAATGAATTCATCTCTTCTCTATCCCCATCCCAGCTATGGGTAAATACCAGGTTATCTTAGATCCTATAAGCGTTGAGTAGCAACCAGTCTAGGAAAAAGACAAGTCTGAATTCAAAACCTGGGTTAAATAGCCTCACCAACCTTCACTTGGCCAAGTGTGGCAACTATGGTGACACCCCTGAAGACATTGTTAATTAGGGAGTAGTTCCTCTAACAGTGGAGAATGTTGTTTTTGGAACTGCAGTATTGCACTCAATTTCAAAGTTGCGTTTCACATGGTAAATAATGACACAAAATGTTCTTTTCTAAATTTTTACCATTTTTTGAGGAAACCGATTTCAAAATTAAGTTTAGGCTCAAAATCATAGTGTT